GATCTAAAATGGTAATTGTGCATTAACAGCTGTCAACCATGTCGGTACGCAAATGCGCTGTCAGAACTTATTTACAGCACATTTTTTATTTTGGTCGCGCATGCGGACCTGCGGACCACTTATGTGCACTCCTGCCAATAAAGATTTAATTCCACAAATATCATAAAACCTCAAATTTGTTTTATTTTGCATTTAGTGTACCAAATCCATACTTAAAAAAATAGCAGCCTTTCTGCAGTAACAGTAGTACTGTGTTGATCCGTAAATTTCCAAAGCCAGTGTAGAATTTCTGTTCAATAAGTTTTGTCTTTCAATCTTTGCCAATTTTCAATCTGGTTTCCGACCGCATCACAGCACAGAGACAGCACTCAAAGATAATGAATAATATTCGCTTAAATTCTGATTCTGGCAAAATATCAGTGCTGGTACTACTAGATCTCAGTCCTGCGTTTGACACTGTTGATCATAACATACAAGAGAGACTGGAAAACTGGGTCGGGCTTTCTGGGATGGTCCTCAAATGGTCCAGGTCATACTTAGAAGGGAAAGGTTATTATGTGAGTATAGGAGAGCATAAGTCTAAGTGGACGTCCATGAAATGCGGAGTCCCACAAGGCTCAATTTTTGCACCGCTCTTGTTTAGCCTGTACATGCTCCCACTAAGTCAAATAATGAGAAAGACCAAATTGCCTATCACAGCTATGCAGATGACACCCAGATTTACCTAGCCTCATCTCCAAATGACCACAGCCCTATTGACTCTCTCTGCCAATGCAGATGCAGTGGGATGGGGAAAAACCCGCCATAAAGTCTCGATAAATGTTTTTTTCAAAGTTAAACTTGAATTAACTTTACATGGCTTTCTAAACATGTGGCTCTTTTGTGCGAGACGCGAGTGCAACAGTAATAGATGTCCGTCTAGAAAATGCGTGAAATATGCATTCTGTGTGAACGGCTTGGTTTCAGTTTTGATGTAAACAAGATCTTCTCCGCATTGATGTTCTCTTTTTCCGCTATATTTTTAATGAACAATGCAGCAGCGCCGCATCTAGTGGCTTCAACTGGATAGGCTAACAAAAACATTATAATGCAACGACATTTACATCGTCATCGCATCTCGTGCGCCGCTGATAAGGCTGCCTCCTTAACGCACACCTAAAATGTGGATTTTTATTTTAAATTCGACGAATATTCGAAATTTTTTTTGACAGCCCTATTAGCCACATTTAAATCTAGACTCAAAACTCATATGTTTAGCTGTTCATTTAGTGAATGAGCACTGTTCTACATCCGAACCGTCTTTAGTCGTGTCACGCCACTCATGTCCAGAATAGACAAGGTTCTTTGTTATTTTATCACTTTCATTTAATCTTTTCAATGCAATTTTTTACATAATTGAACAATATGTGAAGGCTACGTGCTAATGTTTTAACTTTTTTTTACTTATAATTATTAATAGCATTAATAACTAATCTTATTTACTATTTTTATTTTCAAATAGTTAAATCTATAGAAATAAAATAGTTTCAAATTTTTGCAACCAAAAATTTTGGTACCAAAGTCCACAAAATTGTACTGGTATTGGTAGCAACTACTGACATTTGGTACAGTCACAACACTATTCTGCATGTCTCAGCACTCAAAAATGTTATGTGAATGTCCACTCATGCATAAGGGGATTTTTTAATGTCAATGGAGGCATGCGAGAGAACAATGTTTGATCGTAGAACCTTGCTGTGCTATATCCAATTAGTCACTATGTCCAATTATTGTCATATTTACTGCAAACTATACATGTAACTGTACTTTGACCTAATTGAGAAAATGTGACTCCCAGTGTGCACAAACTACTGAATGTACTGCTGGTTACAGACAGAAGGACTCGTTGTTTTGCAGCACTAAAGTTTTGTGAGCACTACTCAGGCAGTGTCCTGCACTAGCTGCAGATACTCATGAAATCCATCTTCAAAATCAGAATATTGCTTCAAATAAATAAATAAATAATTAAATGTTATAACTATAAGGCTATATAAATATAAATATACTATATTTATACTAAGTATAAATAGCGATAGAAGGCTATTTACACTAAGTGAAAGTAACATTTTCTTAGCGATAGATGCTATTTACACTAAGTGCAAATAGCAATGGATTCTGATTCTGTGAAAATAGCAGTATTTTTTAGCCATATGCTATTTAAACTAAGTGCAAATAGATTCCATTTACATTATATTAAAATAGCAGGATTTCCTGATATTTATACTACTTAATGCAAATATTATCTGCACCTCAGTATTGTAGTACATTATGAAACAGTATGCAATAACGTATTAAGTGTAAATTATCATTTTAATTCAAATTGTTAAATGGATGCCACCATATTGGGACAATAAAGCCCTCCCTACACCTACCCTAACCCAACACTTTATTTTCAACTTTTTGATTATTTCCTTCATATTTATTGAAAATAAATGCCTTTCCGATGTGATATGAGATTTGAAAAGAGAGGAAAAAAAGTTTGGTAAAAGCGGTTTCCAACTTGGTTCGATCATGTCAAAAATGACTACGTCACATGCTTTATCATCTATGCCACGCATAAGGGGATTTTTTTTTTTTTTTTTTTTTATGTCAATGGAGGCATGCTAGAGGACTATTTTTGCATTTAAACACACTCCATAAAATATAATTAAACAATATTGCAATTATTAATTGCCAGAATGTGTACTAAGAAAGTAAATGGAGATCATTTTGATTTCATTTGACTTACAAATACACAGAAAAACTTATTTCACTTAATCTAAATGTAGTCTTCCAGCTGTGCGGCTGGGATCTGGTACCTTCTTGAGGACGCAGACCATGGCTGTGGCAGGGCTGATGTGCAGGGCGAGTGGCGTGGACAGCACATCCTGGTACTGCAGGCAGCAGGCGTAAAACTTGGACCAGAACTCCACCTGCAGCAGACGGTAGTCCTCCTGACAGAACTCGTACTCGGTCACGCTACCCTGAAGCTGAAAACAACGTTTAGTGGTAACACAGATGAAGAAATTAACACAAAGGGGAAAACAGCACCACCTTACCTCATTTTCCACTGTGACCGTAACCTCTTTCTTCAGCTCCTCCCACGACAAGTCAGAATATCGCTCTGTACCTCGCTTGTAAATCTGGACAAAAGGAATGAATGCATCTAAATAAATCTAATGTGAACTATGCATTTACCTGCTCCAATTTAAGACCCTTTTGAGGCCTAATATCATAAAACAGGTAAAATAATTATAATAAATGTTCCTCTGTTTTTTTATTTTACAAATAACTAATGGCATTACGAACAGCTGCCCTATCGCAATACCAGTGTTGGGGAGTAACTAGTTACATGTAACGGAATTATGTAATTTAATTACATAATAAATGTAACCGTAATCTGTTACAGTTACTGAGAAAAAAATGTGTAATTAAATCAGTTACTTATAAAAATGTTAACGATTACAAAGAGGGGCTACATCTGAATATTTCACACATACAAAGATTTGATTGATTTCTTTCCAAAATTGCATTGACTGCTTTAAAATATGAGACACCAATGTTTCAGGAGTTTAGGACACATGCTTATTCGATAACGGTTTCATTTCCTATTCAGGTTTTTATTTATATATA